CCTGCCTACAGGATCTGACCTGTTCTACCCTAGCCCTACAAGAGTTGAGTGCTGCCTCCAGGCTAAGTTCCTCTGTTGGAATTTGTTTCTGTCATGATTTTATCTCCAGTGAAGTAGACTCTCAAAAAGCCCAGGGTCACATCTTTCTCACAGCTGGCAGGGCAAGCTCAGGGGGGATTCAGCTCTGCTCCTGCCAGGGCATGGCAGCACCTGACATCCACAAACGTGACCACCCATATCTTCATACCCCAAGTTACAGTGTGCTGGAACCCCCGTGAAAGTTCCCTTGCAGGCCGACAGAGAAGACCACCTCTCTGTGCTCCCTTTGCAGACGGAGCCATTTCTTATGTGTCCCTTAGCTGAACCTGGCTGGGTCACACACCCTAGTGCTATATTGCTCTTTCTTCCTCCCAGGCCAGTGGAGATAAAGACAGTGCAACCAAATTTTGTCCTCCGGAGACCATGACAGAGCAGCGTTTCCCCTCGGCCCAAGACAGAGCACTGGGAAGGTCTCGATTCCCCCATCTATCCCCTGCCTGAGACATACAAACCCGAGGTGAATTTTGGCTCACCGTGCCCAGGAGGCAGGTCTCAGCACCCTGTGGAACACGGTCCTATCCAGACCTGGGACATTGCGGGCTTTGCAGGGGTTGGTGAGTGCCAGCCGGGAAAGGGCTGCCCCCCCCACTCCCCGGCCCTGCCCAGCCCGGGCCCGGCGCCGCCCGCGGGCAGGGCAGGGCAAGCCGCTGTCCGCGGTGCTGATCCCGGCCCGGCTCCGGGCTGCGGCACCCTCCGCTCCGCGGGGTGCCCCGGGTCCCCCCCTCACCCCCGGCCCGGCTCATGTCTTAGGGGTCTCCGGGAGGGCAAGGGGGCAATTGAGGGGTGGCTCAATTGCGGCTGCAAAGTGAACGGGAGAAGAAGTGGGTTTTAAGGGGGGAAAAGGCTCTTCGCACTCCCACGCTTCCCCAGCGGTGTTGGCAAGGCTGGGTACAGGAGAACGCTGAGCTGAGTCTGACTGTCTGAGTCCAAACTGGGCCTTTCCCGTGAAGGGTGGGTGCGTGCATCCCCACCTCCAGGCCACAGGCATGGCACAAACAACAAATGGCACAAGGTCTCCTACTCCAGCTGCATGTGGACACGTAGGTGAAAGCCCTAGGGCTCAAGATGCATGTTTAAGGCACTGGTTGCAAATACTGGTAGAGCAGGGACGTCAGGCTCCTATGGCTGTCTGTATGCTCTAGTGTCAGAGACCCATCTCTATATGTTTGTACAGCACTAATCAAGTTCTCCGTATGAATTGAGCTTTCTCTATAGAGCCAGACTGGACTCATCAGCCAGTGCGATAGTTGAAGCAGCATAGGCAGAGCTTACAGCACAGCTTTGCAGCCCTCTGCAGAAGCAGCACAGAGAGTCCTGGCCCTCCAGGTGGTGAAATGTCCTTGCCTAGCCAGTGGACACTCCAATAACACCTTGAATCCATGCTTGGGACAGGCCCAGGAAGACCTCACCCGTGATGTAAGTCAAGTCTGCTGAGACATCCCAGAGTCCTGCTTTCAGGACTTTTGGGGACCTCTAGGAGTGCAGGAGGAGAGGTCTCGGGCTGGGTGCTGCAGTTTAAAGGGCTATGCAATGACTGGAGCACAGTGTGTCATCCTTTCCCATGGGGACAGGCAGCTTCTCCCTGCAGAAGGTGGGGCTCTCCCACCCCAAAAGCAGGCTCACCCCCTCTCATGCAATCCCTGGGGTGGGTGCTTTAAAAGGCTATGGCTGATCACCACAAACAACCTGCCCATTTTTAATGTTACCGTTGTGGATATCTCCACCCTGTATGAGCACAGTGCTATTCATTTGAAATGGATATGGCATTAATATTTCTGTTTATTTAGGTTAATTTAAATGGTTACATTTGAACATCAAAAAAGTCTTCTCTGCCAACTGCCAGCATGGTTTGAAGCAGCAAAGAGACAGGCTTTAAAAGAATGCACTCCTGTGGAGTGCTCCTGTGCTTAATCCCTCTTTCAATAATTTCTGCATCCTTTGGGGAATAAAGTGTCCCTTCTCCAAGGCAGCTGTCAGATCTAGGCATTTTAGGACACCCAGAGGAGACCACTTCCCTGTGCAACCTGTACCGACAAGCCCTCCCTCCATCACCATCACTGACCTTGGTCAAGGTCACTGAAAAAGAAAAAGGCCTCATGAAAGGGCTTCTTTGATCACCTGAAACAGAGCTGGAGATGGGGACATCAAGAAATGTGATCATAGTGGGATAGAAGAGAGGAAGGTTACTTAAAAGATTAGCTTGGGATAGGTTGGTCAGAGTAGCATACAAAGATGTACAGACTATGCAAAGGTAGAGCAAGCAAGGTTTTGCTGTTCATTTCTAGGTAATTACAAACATCAAGAGATTTTTTTTTTTCAATATCGATTTCCCGATCTTGTCTGGATGAGTGACAGTCAGCCAGTGCAAGAGAGCCTTTTCTGAGTTGGAAACCACCTCAGATGGGCATTCCTCCCACCTGGTTATTTAATTCTGATCGCCCTGTGTGGTTACCTTACAAAGAGGAGTTAGACTGGCCAGATAATGCAAAAAGCATTTTGCTACACAACTTCTATTTTCTTTAAGCATGGAAATAAGAAGTCACCCATTAAGAAGTCCTATTCAAATGCAACTTATGTGTACTATTTAAAGCACATATGCACAAGCTAATTTGTTCTGCAAGAAAATCTACTTTCAGTATATTTCCTCTGCTTTTAAAACTGAACCTTTAACTTTTTCTCATCCCTCAGTCTTGCTGAACAGCTATGTTAGGCTGCTTTGGCTGCAGTTATTGCTCATTTAAACCTGCATTAAGGGACACAGAATCAGACATGTGGCAACAATAATCTTTAACCACTCCACTTGCACATAAAAGACAACCATGGGTCCTGGCTTCTCAGTATCACTATAGATTTACTGCTGCTGTCACTCATAACAGCCAGAAGCAGAGGAGCTTGGAAAGCTGTCTGAGGATTAGTTTGAAAGACTTCACCCTTGGGATGAAATTCTCTCTTTGTGGTACGCAGTTACCTTATGGGTCCTATTATATTAAGAGAGAAAAATATGGGCTACTTTCACACTGAAAATACATGCCAAGCAGGATTGAAAGATCTACACAGACATTGTCATGAGAAAAAAAAAGGAAGAAAAAAGATACAGAGATAAAAAAGCTTACTTCAAAGCACCAAAATGATACCATTTTGCATAAGTATATGTCTATTGAAAAGGGTTCCAGCTGGTATCCTTAGATTAATGTTATTACCCACCATAAATATAATGGAAACAGCTGTACTTTCTATCGTCCTAAAGGATGATGCTTACATTAAAGCTCCATTGATTTTCAAACCATAAATACAAGAGTAGTACAATAGTAGGTATGAGACTCATGGACTTTCAAATCCCTCTCCATCTTTCGATCTTCTAACAGAAATGTGGCTTCTGAATCATGTTAGTATCATGATGCAGAATTGTTTCAAGCTGGAAATAGTGTTCTGCTTTGCTCCATTCTGTTCCAATGCACAAGTGTTGATCTCCTTCCTGCTTCAACTAGGGAGCTACGGGGAGGCATTATACAATGTGGACCAGTCCAAGAGGGCATTTCTCTGCTTTGAGTGAAAGTTATTGGATAAACTACAGAAATAGCCTCCTGAGCAGCAAAGCTCTTCTCTCTCCATGGCTTAGCCATTGGGTTAAGCTGGAATCACCCTTGCTTCCATTTGCTGCCTCAGTTGAGCTATACTCCAGGAAGAATAAAACTGCTTTCACCAAAAAAGGGAGATTAAAGATCAAGTGGGAGAAGGAAGGAGACTCCAAAAAGTATCATGACTTAGAAACTGTCTTGAAAGATATCATGTTAGGGTTTGAATGCACTCAGACTGGGACACAGCTAACCCAGGTCTTCCATAGCTTTGGGGGGGACTCTAGCCACAGATGCAGTGACTTAGGAGTTGGAAGGCTCTGATGTCTTCACTGCACTGTAAGAACCACTTCTCCTCCATTTCCAAGGTGTTGGTATCCACCTTCTGGGTTAGGAGACACCTTGAGCAGTGCTGAACAAAGTGCTGTCAGAGAAGGACACACACAACACAAGGTAGCCTTCACATATCAGCCTTACACAGTGAGTAGCTGAGTATGTCTATTAAGAGAGGTCTCCCCTTTCTGTAAGCTGACTGGTACTAAATCAGCTCTGAATCCGTGATGTTACACAACATTACAGCCAGCACAGGTCTGAGACTGGGCTAATAAGGCCTTGATGCCCTGTTAAAACATCTGCATGGTTTCTTGCTTGCCCAAAGTATCGACAAACTGACCTCACATCCAACTGCAAAAAGCCACATAGACTTGCCTTTAGGTAACTCTCCTCTGAAGGGACTTTTCTGTGGGTACTGTATTAAGGCACAGACTCCATGCACTGGATAAGCAGTCTCAGTGCCTTGCTTGGCACTCTGCTCTGCAGATCAATGACACATCACAGCACACAGTGTTCTTGACTTGCACAAACCTTTTGGGGATTGGTGCTCATGCAAATACATTATATTTACACACGGTGATAAATCTTTGTTAATGAGGCTGCAGCATACTTGCTGTCTTTTCCACTAGCATCTGTGCTTTGGATCAATTACAACATCACCTTTTTAGGAAAAACAAGTATTTCAGGACAGAGATGCTTGGGTTTAAAAGTAGAGGTACAGAGGGCCAAGCAGTATATGTATTCCCCTTGAAAGGTGTAGAGTTTGGAACTCCATGGGAACCTTGCACAAATGTGAGGGACTGAGGGGAGAATGACTGTGAGAGAAAGCAAGGTGGATTAGTCTGTCAGTCATCGCTATCCTGGCTCTGGGCCCAGGGTGGTAGTGCAACCTCGCAGCTGCAGCAGACTATAGCTCTGCATGGTGGAGATCTCCTCCTTCTGCTAACCATTGGCACAAGAGATATGGAGACTTTCCCCAGATTCACAGAACTAAGGTTATTTCCATGCGTTAGTGAAAAAAAATGGATTAGTGTTGGAAGGCCAAAAGAGTCAAGGGTCACCTGAAGATGTCTATTTCTCTGCTAATTTATAGTAATTAAGATATATTACATAAGCATTCATGCAGTATGCGGGAAGATAATAGACTGAGGCTAGATGAAGACTGGCATTTGCACATGGCAGCTTCTAGTCAGTAGCCAGTGATTAGCAAGTTACAGAAAATCTTCATTTTATCTTCTGGAGGGCATTGCAAAGGATCCCCATCTCACCTGCAAAGGAAATAATCAGAGCAGTTAATTCTACAGCTAGCCCATTTCTGACACTCCCGTATATATTTACCCTCTATATCCATTCCCTGAAAGAATAAGTGAGCAAAGAAGTACTGGATTGGACACATTTATTAGGGTCTTACTGGAGTAAGGTCTGCAGAGCCAGCCTTTTGCCTTCATGAGCCATACAGGAATGGCTCACAGGACCAGGGGTGCTGGCTCTCAGCAGGCTAGCCAATGTTAGGCGGAAAATGTATCAGGAAGAAGGTTAGAATGGCAAAACAAAATGTGATTAAAGCCAAGCTTTTCCTTTTCTTCCTTATTGAGAACAGCTAGAGCCACACATCAGAATCCACCACAAGGCCTTCTGGCCTTTCCTAGCACCTCCACTAAAACTGGATATTTCGGATGTAACACACTACAGCCAAGTGGAAATGCTATTTTGAAGCTTGGCTAGAATTAGGAAGCAATTTTTGCACCAGAAAGGAGAAGTGTGCTGCTTTATCTTGGTCCGGCTCAGAGCATTAAATGCAACCAGACGAAATCTGTTTTGCAGTTGCTACTTCTGATCGAGATTTTGAGGAATTCAAGGTAACAAATCTGTAGTTCCTTACTATTGATAGTGTCGGCTAAGTTCTTCAGCTGCTTTGCATTGTCCAAGACTTCAATCCTCTGGGTGTAGGGATTGTACCGAACAGAGAAAGGACGAGGGATCGTTTGAGCAAATTTCCTGAGGCAAGAATACAAAAAACACACATAAACTTGAAAAGCTCCTTTTTTTCAGTAACTCACTCTTTTCTTGGTGTGTGTATTTGTTGATGAGGGGAATAAGAAAATCTGCGAGAGAAATAACTGAAATTCCTGCTGAGTGATCTGAGACCTACAGCATTCTGTAACACACTTGAATCTGCATTTGTCCTTACCACCTTTGTTTTTTTCCCCAAACAGGACTAATTATGCTATTGGCATGGCAACACTGCTCCTGGTATAGGCCAACTATGTAGCTGTTGGGATTTGCCAGATTTGAAAACCTCATTTTCCTTTCAGTAGTGCAAAATATAGGAATTCTGATCCACATCTGCAATTTCTGGGAAAACAAGGTCAAGTACCTATGCCATCCTGGCATACCAAGGAGCATGCAGAGAGCTAAGTTTTGGCATGGTTGGTAGTGGCTTCCAGGTCATTGCAAAGCTAGGAGATAGTCAATGGAGTGAAGCAGCATTCTTGCCACTCTTTACTTGCAGCCTTCCCTGCTGCAAAATAGTTAATTCCATGGCAGAAGCATTACAGTTTTGGTATCTTGGGGAAACATTAATCTGCATAACCACAGAACTGTGGAAAGGAGGACTCTGAATGGGATGAGATGGCCAGAGCTATTGTTCCAGGCTCCTTGTAGACCGCAGCAGGATACTGGCTTATATATCTGCTTCGGATTACTGAAGTTATTGCTGAAAGAGGAAGGAAAGCACGCAGGAGTTGCTTATGGAGCCCCACTATACAGACTGTGACTCAGCATGGTAAATCCCATATGCCCAGAACAGTGGAATATGCTGGATGCCACCTCCACATTGCTCCTTCAGTTTAGTCCTAATTATTATCAGCTAAGGCCATTGTCTCAAACAGAGTTCAGTGTGAGCAGGCCACAAGGTGTGACAGTGGAAAAAAAATAGTGTTGGCTATGATGAAAGTGTTTAGTGGTGTCAGTCCAGTTTTCCTAAGGGGAGAGATCAAAGTTAGAAGACAGTCTTCCTAAGTGTCAACTGAAGGTAATATCCTAATTAGAAGATGAATGCCTTAAGTGGAAATATTTTAGGTCAGCCTCAGAGTAATATTTCAGGGATGTTTCTACACAAACACACGTGTCCAGGTGCAAGCCACAAACACAGGCACTGGACCAACCCCTAGACCTCTATTTCAATTTAACCACTTTTCCAATTTGGTCATTGAAAAAAATTAAAGAAGCTCCCAGATAGTTTGTATAGACTAAGGAACCTGCTACTCAGTTAGAGAAGTATACAGAGAAGATAGAAACTGGGGGGGGGGACATTAATGGCACAAACTAGAAGAGAAGGCAATCTTTCTCATGTATTACCCCAGAGAAAAGGGCAGAAGGAGATGCTGCAGGCTTATGATGACTGAGGAAGCAGCAGGGGAAGTAGCTAGGAAGACCTTGGAGCTGGGGAGCCTGGGGCAGCAGAATAGCTTGGGTCTCAGTATGTGTTTATCTGTGAATGGGGGGGAGAGAGAGAGAAGAGACTGCAGGTCTGGGACAAGTCCCTGTGTGGCATCTCCAAGCGAAAAATTTGTTGAGTGTGAACCAAGGCTAACCCCCAGTGGCTTGGCTAACATCCAGAAATACGGCAGTGGGTTTTTTAAACAGAAATAGAAGTATTGTTGTGAGGTGGAACCCAGGCTGAAACCCAAACACAGTCTGAGCCATTCCTGTTTGAAGAACCAGAACTGAACCTGGACCATTATTTCAAAGTCTTGTTGAACTGGAACTGAATTGGTATTTGAGTCACAGATGACTGAAAGATTTACTGTGTAGCCCTGTAGTCTTGTAAACACACTGCTGGTAACAAGCTGGAGGCTCTGTATTAAGCTAACCACACAGGCCTCGGGACTGGGGTTATTACCCTTGCTTGGAGTTTTGTTTAGCTGTAATAACAATTGTCTAATGACCATGTAGCTATTACCTAATTTGTTTTAGTTTTGCTTAATTCTGAATAATTGTGTGCTATAATGCCTACCATTAATAATTTTTATACAGGCAGGAACAGCAAGTAGTTACACTGTACACAGTGAACTAAGTCTGACCCTAAAGTAATGATGCAGCATGAAGGAGTACCAGCACGGGCTGGTAACAGAGGCCTTAAAGGCATGAGCATAGGATGATGCTGGTGGTCCCTGGGCTATCAACAACTTCCCACTGGTCAGTTATTCACAGTAAAGCAAACCTAGGAGCTGAGAAAAAAAAACAATTTTAGAGAAAACAAAAGGGACAAAGAAAAAAATATTTAACACAAATAGTAAAGTCAGAATCAACACAGATTTGCAGACTAATGTAGAAAGAGCAAGATGTAAAGCATGTCAGAAAACATCAAAATGGCCCTGAGGAAACCTTGGGCTGAGCAGGAAGAAAGGAAGCACCGACACCATCCACCTCCTCACAAACGAGAGGAAGAAACTCCTTTCATTAACATCACAGCCCTGCTCTGAAGACTTCAAGATGCTGATTACTTGACAACTTCGCACCACCCCCCCAACAGACCGAAACTGTTGACTTAAGACACAAAAGAAAGTGCAAGGGTAAGCATAACTTCAGAGGAAAAGGAACTTTTAACTATAGTATTGTTAGAGACTTGGTTTTGCATTAGTTAACTAGCTTTGACCCTAAGTGTTAGTATCACTGCAACTGGACTAATAATAATTTTTTGTTGCATTTTGGTTATACAGATGAAACTCTTAACCAGACTAACCACAAATTCCTGGCTTCATGCATAAGGTATGTTCCCCTTATTGCCCATAACAAGATTTTGAGTGTAACAACTGCTTAGTCTCTCTAAACATTGCACAACTTTTTCTAATGCCTCTCAAAATATTACTGTCAACCCAAGACCTGTTATGGCAACAGGATCCACTGTATTGGCAACGGACAAGAAATTGGGTCTTCTGTGGACTGAGTGGATTACCTTAGCTTTTCTTTTGCATCTTTAAAACTTTCAGCAACATAGTAGACAGGCTGGAACTCAGTAACAGGGTACTTCTGCACAGCAGTCTTCTCCAAGACAAGAGGCTGAATCTCAGGCTCACTTGATAAACAATACTATAAGCAAAAAGGCAAGACATTTATTTCAGTTTAAAAGTGCTTGAATTTGCTGTGAAAGAAATACAGAGCTGCTGAATGTCACTCAGACAGGAAGGAGTTGCTCCTGTGGAATACAATGACAACGTCACGAGCAAAGAAGCAGGTATGAGTCCCCTGTGTGTGTGTACACTGACACGTTTATTAGAGCTCTCCAGTGAAGTATGGCACTTCGTGCTACTTCTGTGCACAAAGTATGAAGCATAATAAGGATCTGACGACATGCAGAAATTTGAGCTATTATAAACATCTTTGAAATAGTTTTACAGAACACACCTGCAGTTCCCCGAATGAAGACAGCAGCCCTGCACCGTATGCCTTGAGTGAATCGCCTTCCTTACATAGTCCAAACTCCACCGTAAACCAATAAACCTAGCAAGAAAATTCGACAGAAACTTATGATTCCTTGATCAAAAAGAGTAGGTGCACATCACTGATTTGAACACATTTGGAATTTGCATTTCTATTTAAAATGTTTCCACGTGTCAAATACCAACTATATGAATACAATAAACGTCCCCACAGACTGGAATTCTTCTCCTGGAAGGGGCACTGTGCTACACTCAATGTGCCTGACAAACACAGTTGTGTTTCACTGTGCTTACATTTGTCAGCAGAGCAGAGACAATGAAACTATAGCAATAAAATTTCATTTTGGGTGGCCAACCCGGTTGAAGTGTGAACCTTAGCTGATACAAGTTTGTGTCCTGTTTCACACCGAGGGCGTCCAGCTGCAGCAGCAAGAGAGGGAATGGGCTGTTAGTGCAATACTGAAGGAAGGTGGTGTGTGGCCCAGCTGGACTTCTTGGTCTTCATTTTGAAGGGATACCTGCTCTGGCTCAGAATTACTACCTCATCTGACAGAAGCAGCAAAGATGGTGCAAGGCTTTGCCCAGGTGAGCTGGTGCTGGGGACACTAATCTCATAGGCATACCCTTGTTTTGATTCCAAGTTTGCAACTCAGGGTCTCGGTAGTCTCAGCGTAGGATTCAGGTGAGCCACGCTGAGTGCAGAGGACATTATCTGCCTGGCAGGGTGGAAGAGAAGAGACACTTGCAGGTAGAACAGCTACTGAAGCTGCCTCCTGAAATTCCCTGTGGGGATGTAGTAACATGTAATCTCTTCTTGCCCAATATGTTTGTGCTGCAGGAAATCTCGTCGGGGCTTCTGTGTTTAATCACAACTGTCACTTTGAATAAGAGGTGCCAAAGCTATTTTCCTTTAATGCAACTGTTTCAGGGTGGGGTTTTCCAATCATGGACTTCACTCTGTTCCCATTCAACTCTATGGGAGTTCTATCAGTGACTTCAGTGGCAGCAGAATCAAGACAACACAGGGTGCTTTGGAAAATTGAGCCCTCATTTATTAAATTACCGTAGCGAGTTTCTCGATGAAATCATCCGGAGCTCCCAGAGATGCCAGTCCAATTTCCTGTAACAATAAACCATTATTCTTCAAGCTGTTTATTGCAAACATTCTTCCTGTCTCGTCTTATGTAATTTCTCACATTTTAAATGTTACCATCGCTTACTACCACACACAAATGTTTACAGAACATGTTCCTATCGTGCAACATCAATTTTAAACCAGAAATCTTTCCAGAAATGAACAAAGGGTCTCGTCCAAATGTCATTTACAAGGCATGATCCTTTGTGCCTTGTACAAAGCCCATTGAGTTCAGATAAAATTTTCCTCTTGCTTTGACAGGCTTTTGATCAAGTCTACAATGTGCATCTGGAAGAATGATACGGTCAAAAGGAGGTAAATCAATCACACCCACACACCTTAAATATTTCTCTTTGTTTTGATGGGCCCTGAATACAGGAGTTTTCCTGGAGCTTTGAATGAGTTATTTTTTCTGAATGACAGGGCACGATCTGAAAGAGCTTATTCATACCTTGGGAGCTAATGGAGACTTTCGTGGGAGGCATGCAATAGCTGGATTCAGAAGACAGCCACAAAAGACCGTATAAAAGCAGGTTCCTTTCTCAGTTTGCTCCAATGAGGACTGCACAGTGCAAAAATCAGAGCACCCCACACACACACCCCAAGAGCATGGGAGCAGCCATCACCATGTCAAATCCGAATAAGCCAAGGTGCAGTGGGGCTTATCTTGAAGGAAACCCCAGTTCTGGGAAAGGGCAGAGCCTGAGGGCAGTACTGAGTGCTTACTAACTACAGCAAGTTGACTTTCATCTTTTGAGCAGGATGTTACATTAAGTCCATTTTGCCTTCCTTCCTTCCTTTGTCCTTCCATCCTTCCACCCTTCTGTCCTCCTTCCTTCTTTCTTTGTCTCTCTCTTTTTCTTTCTCTTAATGTCTCTATTTTTTCTTTTTTCCTTCTTCCTTGCTTTCCTTCCTTCCTTCTTTCCTTCCTTCCTTCCTTCCTTCCTTCTTTCTGTCTTTATGACTTTCTCTCTTTGTGTCTTTTCATTTTTTCTGGTAAGATGCAGCCAAAAGTTTACTCCTTCACCGAGGTTTGGCTTCTTTTCCAGAGACATTAACACTACCAGAGAGAAAGCTCCTCTCCAGCCTTCTCCCATGCTTGCAGCTGGGACAGTTCCTCACTTTACTCAGCCTCCTCTGTGGCTTCAATAGAAAAGAAAAAAAAATCTCCACTTTCCCTAACATTTGGACTGCATGGTGGGGCAATAATTCATCTGACTCATGAGCCATTTAACTTTGCTCGGAAGGATCAACATCTACAAAAAGATTTTTAGATGATGGCTTCGCAAAGGGTTTGCCTGTAAAAAAACAACTCGCACAAGACAGACGTTTGGAGTTTGAGTGTATGAGTTCACCTAAGTGATTTGTGTCAAGATTTCAAGCAATAAATGAATCAGCTTCAGCCACTCTTAAACAGTATGCTTAAAGGTGAATCTACCCCACCCCTCAGAGCTCTTGGTTGATCCTCTGAATTACCTAGTCTCTGGTGTGTTCAATTATGTAAATAGTATAACCACTGAGTAACTTACCTGGGAAAACTGAGCAAAACTGGGATCAGCAAAAAGAGGCACATGTCCTAGCAGCTCATGGCAAATATCACTGCAGGAAAACATGAGATCTGAATAACTTTAATTTAGGAAAAGTCCAGCAATGCTGGATGAATGCCCTAGAGTCAGCGCATAGCCAAGAGCGCAGTGCATTTGCTCCTACCAGCAAATAATGCTCAAGACTCACGGGAAAACCTTTTGCTCTAAAATTATTCTTGTGATGGAAACGCTTGCACGCTCCAAGGTTTTCATTGCTTTTATGATCATACATTCCTCAGAGGAAGGATAATACATTATTTGTTTTTTCTTATGGAAGAAAACTATCCATTCAACTGCCCGCCCAGCTCGGGAAAGCCCAGAAAGAAATCACCCCACCAAAGAGAACATGGACTTTTCAGTCTCAAGGACAAGAAACCTCTTTAGATGAAGCTCAGGCTACTAAGACAATTCACCATGGTGTCAACATGTACCTCAAGAGCTCAACTCCAGTCCCTTTTCAGGCCCACAGCCTCCCACTGAGAGATGGAAGCTCACCCTTCCTCTGGCAGGACTATTTTCATCACAAGTTGAAGTTGGCAGCTGGACAAGCATGTCTGGGGAAGAACTCACCTAGGGACTGCTAGATTTTTCAAAGACAGAGAAGTGATTTGGTGAGATGGAAAGGGGAGACGAATAAGATGCTCCCAGGAGGGCCAGGTCTGGGGAAGACATTTCAGCCTGGCTTTGTGCAGGATGAGAATGGGGTGAGCAGAAGCAGGGAGGAAAATCAGAAAAAATGAGGGATAGAAAAATGGAGGGGGAAAGGAGGTTGCGGGAAGAAGTAGGAAGCAAAGAAATGGTAAGGGAGGGCAGGAAAAATTGCAACAATATGAAGCAGATGAAGAAAACTGTTTTGAGAACAGCAAGTGGAAAAGGATGATGGACAGGGACAGAGAGAAACACTACAGCATAAAACTGAAAAAGAGAAGGGATCAATGATCTTGGCTTCCTCTGACTTGCTGTCAGAAGCTCGCTTGCAACATGTTGAGTCATTCCTGCACTGGATTTCACACCACTGTTTGGGTGCTAATAGCTAAGCTAAATGCCTTTGTACACTTTGTAGGCATCCCAGCCACCACACAAGCATGCCTTCAGTAGCAAAACTGTCTCATCGGTCCCATAAGAACTTGCAGAAGAGGATGCAGCTTGTTAAAAGACTAGAAATCTTCTGAAAATGTTTTCAGAAGAGAACAGTCGCCTGGCTGGTTTCCATCAGCTCTGTTCCCGGGGGTACTCCAGAGTCCCCCATAGTTATTACTAGTTGGGCTGACTCTGCCGTTCATCTGCTGCAACTTTACACACTTTCTGTGCCAAAGTACTTACGGCTCTGGTGTGTACATGGGTTTGGATGCATGGCGAATATACTGCGTAGAGTGGAATACTCGGAACGCCAGCCCAGCCAAGAAATCCCGAGAGGAGAGCAAGCCTGCAACGGGACGCAGGCGAAAGCCAGTGCAGGCTGAAGGGACAAAAAAATGGCATCTTAAAAACAGCTAGTGTGTTTGATTTATCCTTATTCTGACTCCTCACAGTGGAAAAAGTTTGTTAATTGTTTTCTTTGCTGTCCTTACGTTAAACAGAGTTTAACTGTGAAAGAGCAGGGAATTTTCTACCCATGTATACCACCACCACAGTATCTGAGCATCCGTACCATTGTAACCCCAGAAGTTTTAGAGAGGGACCTGGGACACAGGCTAAGTGGTGTGCCCGAGCACCATGGGGAGCTTGTGATAAAGCAGGGACTGCTTTTCCATCTCTGGTAGCACCACCCCCACTGACAGCTGAGGCCTTTTGTTTGATTCGGTTCTTTTATCTGCTTCAAACTTACTCTGCAAGAATTTTGAGATATCTTCAAGCTGGGGAATGTTGTCCTCCCGGTAGCCACAATACTTCTCCAGCAGTGGGAACACGTGGTTGTGTTCATAACAAGCGTGAGTTGGATAGAGACTCTTCAGCTCCCTGAAGACAGTGCCCCATGTTTTCTTTTCTTCTTCCGTGTAGGTGACTCGAGGAATAGGTTGGCCACTGGAAAGAAAATGGATACCCATTGTAGGAGTGACAGAGAAGATATCCTATGCCACCAGCATCGTACTCAGGAGCTTTACAAGGGCTGGCCAGGAGCTGCTGGGGCAGGAGAGGAGATGTCTCTGGTTTGACACGCAGGTGCAAAAGGAGCCTCGCTTGCCCCTGGACACAGGCTAGGAAGGACTCTACTGACCTCAGCTGAAGTACTGACCTTTAGACAACTCCTTGCATTATTGTGGTAAAAGTAAATGAGTGCTTATTTGTCTTATCAAGATGTTCTTCTAAAAATATTTGCTGGGTGTTGGCTTCAATTTATTTGCATTTCTAGATACAGAGCAGCTGTTATATTTCTTGCTCTAATACACTTTACATTAATTGTTTTGGTTACAACAGGGAAACCGTCAGCTCCAGAAAACTCTGTTTCTTGGAAGGGCAGAGAAATTCTGATCTGTGCTTTATGCTGTAACAGATGCAGACTCCAGCCAGTTTGACTTTTTATAATTGTAATGAGTAATTTTGAGTCAAATCCCACCCTCAGGCCTCCATGTGCTTAGCTCATGTTGAAGTTAGCAGGAATTAGACAATCACAAGCAATGTAGTTTGGCCTCCTGTGAATAGTCAATTCCTTAGCAATAATGATAGGGCCATAGGTGAATCCAGCAGCTTTGAAAAATCAAAGGGTTTTAAGTAACTTAACAGGGTTAACATCACTGCTGGAATAATGCTGGAGCTTTCCAGGCCCCAGAGACCCATTGTTAAACTCTTGATGACACCCCACCATCTCCCACTCCTTTTTTTTTTCCTTGAGCCTCAGGGCAGCTCCTCTGGAGCGTCATCATTCTCTGTCTCTCTGCATCAGCCCTCCTTGATCTGTGGAGCTTTAAACATCATGTCGAATTATGAGGATTGCTGGGGGATTTTTGTTCCTATAGCACTCCTAAGTAATCCTCAGCCACCTTCCAGGGCTACAGGGGGAAGCTATGGCTTAAAAACCTTTCAAATTTCATTTAAAAAATTTCAGGGATGAACAGGGCCAGAAGCAAAGGAAGGCAGAGGGAAGAGGCAAAAAAAAAAAAAAGAGAGAACTCAGGGAAATTAAGCATTCAACAAAAACAATGGGTAAATGTATCGGGAGAGAAGGCAAAAGAGCAAAGGCGGAGTAGAGAAGCAAACAGCAGGAGGAAAGAGGAAAAAATAAATGCAAAAGAAAGGACACAGAAGAGGATGAAATTGATGGTGGGAAGAAGAGTACAAGACAAGCAACCACAGACCCACCCCACCTTTGTAGCTGGGTAGCCCAGACGTGGGCTTTCACACCCTACTTGCTGCTCTGTTACTGAAAGACCTAACTGGAACGTCCGAGAACGTCACACAAAAGGTGCTTTTGGGACATAGGTCCAAAGCTGTATAGGCTCTGTTTCCAATGCGACTGAGGATCTGGATAACAGACTAAATATTAATTAGTTACATCTTGGAATATAATGGTTTCATCTTCCTAAGATGGTTTCAGTTTGAATCTTGAGGGGACGAGGTGGTTAACATGTCTTTTGGTTTATTTCTATGTAGGATTTGGTGAAAGCCTGCAAACTAGAGAGCAAAATTTGTCATCCATTAGGCAGGAAAGGTAAATCTTCTGTGAGATACCTACAAATGGGCATTAGATCCATCCACATCTGGCCACAAAGTCTTATCCAAATTTCCTAGCTACAAACTGGGCTCCTGACTTTTTTCACCTGACTTTTTTCACCTTCCATCAGTGAGTCCAATTTTGTCTCCCATTTTGTGATTAGATTACTAGCTCTTTGGCTCAGGGACTATCTTTTCATCGCAGTCCCGTGCAAAGTGGAGCCGTAAATGTACAACATATGTTACTTTATCCTTTGCAATCACAATTTTTACCAGTCTCAGCAAGAATCAGGCCCAGTAGTACTGATATAAATGTGTGAGTGGCTCTGGGAACAGAATTTTATCTCCTCCAGATCTGATCACTGAAAGCAATCAAGCAAGCCTGTTCTAACTGAATTTATCATCTCTATTCATTTATTTTTCTTGGGAAATGAGAGCCCAAATTGCTGATTGCAGCTGGGTCAGACATGATAAAAGTAGAGTATCAGGCGCTGGATTAGCATCAGAACCATAAGTTATTCATTATTTTAATAGTCTATGCAGCTCCTGCTTTAATGTAAATGATAGGCACTCCTCCCCCAACCCTGGTTTAATGGGGAGAATACCAGAAGCGGCTTTATTCAATGCTCAGGTCTTTGTAGTAGCAACGGAGTCTGCTGCTCAATTAGACAACAAAGCCGGGGAAGAGGGGTGTTGTGGGGAAAGAAAGGAGGCAACGTTCTCTTCTGAACGTGTGCCTGGAACAATTTACTTTTGTTTTACAGCGATTTCGGGATAAATGCATGAACAGGAAGATTTAAACACATGGCAGAGAAAAGCCAAAAGCAGGAAGATGCTTGTGGAAAAATAGGGATTGCCAGCAGGGTGAGAGCCCTAGGAGAGGGCAGGAGATGTGGGCTTGTTTTCCGCCCACGCGCTGAGCACTCACTGTCTGTAGTTGTAGGCGATATCCGCAAACTCTTTCCTCCGGGCCCGGTACACAGGATCTTTGAACCCCTAAAGAGAACCAGCGATGGTAAGTCCAAGTATAAATGCAGATGGCGAACAGCCTTCCTCTCACGGAGCACCCTCCGGCACGGCTGGTACGGTCCGACAAGCCGACTTCGTCCTGCCCAGCTCCGCTCACACGGGGCACCCACCGCTCCTTCCCCGTCTGCCCAATCTCCCAGCACCTCTCGCCCCCCAAGTCCTTTCATTTTCTCATTTTCACTTGCTATAAAAAAGGGCAGCTGGCTCCTTTACAGCGCCGACAAGGTGCTCCTTCCTGGAAGAGCACCACACTGAATTAACGGCACTCGGATAACCATGTCCTTCTGGTTTCTCATGAACCTTGTTGAAGTTCCTGGCACCGCTGGGCTGATCTAGAGGAGCAGAGTTAAAACACACTAGAAACACACTCATCAACTCAGTCAGACATTTTAGGTGGATTTTCGGCATCAACCATGCTTAAAGGTGCCCATTTTCAAACTGTTAGAAGAACAGTAGGCACTTAGCAGGCCAAAAAGCCCTATTTGCACTGCAAATTCAACCATTTGAAGGGATTTAATTACTACAGAGAATGTCTAATAGACTTTGTGGTTGGGAGCTTGACCTTTGCAGCTAATTGCCAATAAAACCAGGGATAAGCAATCTAATCTCTAAATCTTCGTCTAGGATAACCACTCTCCTATCCCAGTGTGTCTGCTATTTAGACTGAAAGTTCCTCGGGGCTAGGAGTGTCTTCACCACCTAAAGTGAAGAAACGTCCTTCCAAGCTAGGACACACTTCTGCAGGGCAAATAGTAACAACTCACTGGGCACTGCAGCAGTTCACCAATGCATCTCTTTTAGTGGTGCACAACACAACTGGACTGAGGGGCCACAAAACACAACCAAGTACAGGAGACGGCTGAAGTTGAGTGGAGATCTAGAAGTGTGAGTCAAAAAGAGGCAGCCAATGGTCTGAAAAATGCTCTGCCCAAAATTAACCTGGCCTAGAGGTATTTGTGATTAAATACCGTATAACTTAACTCTAAAACCACAGTGTCCTTTAATTTCTTTTTCTGCACTCTATGTACTGTCACACCTACTTACGCCAGCAGCTGGGTTTCCTTTTTAAAGCATAAACTGCTCACTAACTAATTCTAGGAACTGGAGCAGAGATGCTTCATTCCTTTTAATATCTTTTTTTTTTTGGTTTCTTTTTTCAAATACAATCTTGGTCTATTCCCGCATGACACACAAGGGGGCCATTGACTCAGTGTATCTCCTTTCATTCTGCCTTTCATATGACCACGTTGAACATCATGAATCATTGTACATGATACATAACACATCTCGAATTAAGCAATAGGTAGTGAATGACTAATCACCCCATCTCAATTAAACTAATAGCAGCAATTTTTGTTGCGCTGCATGTAATTTATTTATAATCACCCTATCTCAATTAAACTAATAGCAGCAATTTCTGTTGCACTGCATGGAACTCAGTGTGTTTTGACAAATGAAAATAAGTTGTTGTTTGCTTGGAGAGGGAATAGAGGCATAAAGTATTCTTGTATCTGGAAGAGCTGAAAAACCGCAGAATAAATTTTTTTATTAGCTAAGCCAATGAAAAAAACTTTCTGACCCTACCATTTAAACCACAAACTTTTTGAAACAAGGACCTTTTCTTTTGTTGTGTCTTGCCATACAAGAGTCATGTCAGATTTAACAACCACGTAACGAGACACTAAGCTCAATCGTGTGTATGTAATCAAGGATGAAAAAAACAGTCTTCCTCTCTCTGGGCTATGATATGTTGCTTCTGAAGTCTTTGTTGCTAGTGATTCACAAAATGAGTCTGAAGTCACCATATCAGAGCCACCTGGGAAAACTGGAGGTGTCCTTGTGGTGGCCTTGTGCTCTGATGACCGCTGTGACTTTTAAGGTCTCCTGGTATTTGCTCAAATTAAAGCAACCTTTGGTCTGATTTACTTCACAAGCAGGGATTGGGCTGATTCTAACCCTAGAAATGGGGTACCCTTCTTGTCCTATACCATGTGAGACTTAGTCTACCAGATCTGTCTTAAAGCAGAGCAAATGTAAACCAGAGAAACATCTGTCCCGATAACTAGAAACATGTTAAAAAAAATAAAGCTTTCTTTCTTACAGGATGATCAGCATCCAGTTCTGCTCCATAGCTTAGGATCTGATTGGCAAACCTGTCCAGCTCCTGGATACTTCTTGGGAACCACGGCACTGCAAAACAGAAAAGAAATAGAGACTGGTGTGCTTCTTCATGACTTGGTTTGGGGCCTTCTTCTGGTCTTTCCATCTTTTCATCATAAATACAAAGAAACATATGCAAGGGGCTAAATTCTTTGGGCAGCAATGGCCTTTCCCTGTAACAGGAGGCAAGAGCAAACCCTGCCTGTTGGCATGAATTGTGGCTGGTTTGCACTGTTGGAAGAATACAGAGCATCAGGAATGTCTAGCCCTTGGTGCAGAGCTGGCTTGCAATGTTTATGATTTTCTGTTTATTATTCTGGTCTCTTGGCTTACCAAAACACAGGAATTTTTCCAGAGCATCCTTCCTTTCACAGTGGCTAGAATCAGCCATTTCAAAGGAACAGCAAGAAGTCCCACAACAAGAAGGATACAGGATTATTTGACTCTCTGAAAATCTCTTTCTAAGACCTACTTGGTGGCCTCACATAAGCTAGGATGCAGAAATAAAATGATAAATGGCTGCCTAATACCTCAGACTAGCACTGTATGACTGCAGTCATTATACAATAATGCATTCATTTAATTAACATCCTGGGCCTTGTAACTCACATACTATACACACTGGCTGCGGCGCGGCCAGGATATGGAATGGGACCACACTGATTACACAGCATGTAATGCCCACACAGCCCTCTCTTTACAGAAGGACATAAGGTGGAGGGCAAGGAAGAACCACAAGGCTTTCCAGATGCGACGTGTTCAGACCGGGGAAAGCAGAAGGCAAGGGTCTTCATGGCAATTGCGCTACGAGGAGAGGCTCTTTGCAGCTCGTGAGGTACATGGAGGAGTCATCCCAGGTCAGACCTCCTTCCTGGAGCCACAAGTATATTCACCGCGTGATCCAAGCAGTGCCCTGGCACGTGCCCCCTCAACAGCAAGAGTCCTGGCACACACATGCGGTGGCTGTACCAGGCTGCAGCCCCCTTTTCCATCTGCTCCAGTGGGATCCAGTTGCATACCAAGCCGGAGACCCCCTCGTCAGTCACCGCCGGGCCTGGCCACCCCAGCCCTCTGCAATGAGACAGGGAATCTCGATGGAGGGACCGTGGGCCCTTTCCCCGTCATCGCTTCGGGAAGCGCCTCAGTAGGTAACACCACCGGGTACCGCTGGCAGCTGGGCACATCTTGGGAGCCGCCAGTGCTGCTGGGTTCAGCTTGCTTGGGTTTCCCTTCTGCTGTCCCATTCTTACATTTTTGGCCCTTTGACCGTAGCTGCCTGCCTCTTTTCTTTTTTCCCTTCCCTTCTGCCTGAGTCAGAGGCTACAGCCATGCCTGAATTTAATAGCCTGTGATGAACGTCTCACAAATACAACTAACTGCTCTTTGAGGCCATGTACACATCTGTCTGCAGGAAACTGCGCGGCACCGAGCTCTATCATTTCTTTACATGTGACATGAAAAATTACTCCCTTTTGCTTTAAATTGGATTATTTCATTTGATGTTAAGTGGTTCCTGCATACAAACATCACTTCTTGTTATCCACCTTCTCCGGGCTACCTAGGATTTTATAGCTCCCTGTCAGATCCTCCACCTACCATCTATCTTCCTCACTAAGACTTTGCCTGGGTATTTCAGGCACAGAAACCGTGGGCTATCTTTGAGCACTTCTCTCTGCACCAGTTCCAGTTCTGCTATACTTTTTCTAAGGAAAAAGCACAAGACCTCCACCTAAGGATGTACCCCATGCTCAGGCCATGCAGTCACGTCCCATATGCTCCGCACACTGAGTACAAGTCAGCAACACAGACTTCAAGGCTAATATCACCCAAAGGTCTGCTGGTCCGAGCCCAGGGGCTCTCAGCAGACTCTCTATCAATAAATATCTCTCTATCAATAAAATGTTTGCGGTTCATTTAGTGACTTTCTTGCACAAATGGGTGCCACTTGCTCAGTCGGTGCTTGGAAAACAGCTCATTGCCCTGTGTGGCTCCCTGCTCAGCCGGGAGCACTGTCACCCAGCCATACCTCCCCGTCCGATTTTGGGGTTTGTGCCAAATGAACCTGATCCCGCAGCTGCTGCCTGAGCTCCCTGCAGTGCCTTGCTGATGGGCTTCACCCCAGACCTGACGGACCACGTATGGGATAAGAGGATTCCTCTGTCTCCAGGACTATTCAGCCTTGCTTTCCGCTGAGCCTAACATCCCACAGGGCACTGGCAGAGGGTGGCTGCCAGCCGGGGGGGGGGCCCGGGCTGCTACAGTGGCTTTTGGTTCCCCCCCCCTTTCCGAGCTGCGCAGCCTTCTGCTTTGACCTGAACAAGTCACTAGATGGCAGAAGCAGTCCCGGGAAGATCTTCCCCAAATGACTTTCTTTGCTGGGTGTACCGCTAGTTCTCCAGTTTCTCCAGAAATACTCTCACTTCGCTGTTAGTAACCTTCCTGCACCTCCAACCCCTTGAGTAAAACTGGTCAGAGGGGGTGAGTAGAAAAAAAGTGTGTTTGAGTCCTAAAGAGGAGTCACTCTTCACTCACACCACGTGAAGGGTGAGCACACCCAGCACTCCCATCCCTATTTTCTAGACGGGCAACCGGGTACCACCTTCGTGTGATGGGGGGGAATCGCTTCACTCTTTTGTGCTTCAGACTCCCCACTCTCAGCTTGGGGTGAGGCCCACTGATAAATGCTTTTTGGATTAAGCACTGGGGAAAAAAAAAGCTCTCTGGCAGCCCCACAGCCAAGGATTTGTCAGTGTTAGAGTGAATAACCGCTATTCTCACGGACATGCTGTGATCTGAAGGGTCCGGGCTGTGCAGCCAAATTGGTGGGGGCTAAAGTCTGCGGTGGATTTCAGCAGTGATGTCTGTGGGGTTTTCCTGCCCTGAATAAGAGAGGTCTAGGTGGGCAGGGTTTGAATTGTTGCAACTTCGAGAAGGGGTAAAATGGATATATAATAGTGACTTACTTCCATTAAATACATTTTATTCTCAAGATCCCCAGAGTCTTTGGCACAGAGCTCGTGAAAAACTCTGGCACAGGCTGATTCCCAGGTTGATGCGGTGTCAGTCCTGGGCATGGAAAAGGGTGGCTCGGTTTTGCCCTACACAAGAGCAGCACCTTATCTTCCAGGCCTGCAGCCCCTCTAGGTGCCTGACCTATTTTCAGCAGATCTCTGCCCTCCTCCCAGGTCCCCCCAGAAACCGGCAGTGGCTTAGAGAGAGCAGCTCTGAGCTCGCAGAGCTGGATGGAAGGAGCAGGCCGTGAAAGGGAAATCCTGAGGCTGCTTAGTGCTATTTGCACCAGCATAGCTGATGTTAAGTCGGGTCCTGGAAAGTCCTGAGCCTTCTCAGCTCTCGTGGAAACAAGAATGGAAGGTTCTGAGCGCAGCCCCAGGGCAGGCACCGCACCAAGTCCGTCGAGCCCTCACATGGGGGACCAGGGTGCAAAATGCCTCCTGGGTCTTCTGCCTAGCTGTGGTGTGCCAGGAGGCTGTCCCCAGCCCTCCCAGCAACTATTTAAAAGGGAAAATCCAATTACCCCCTGGCTGAATCTTTCCCATATTTTGTTTGCGACGTCCTCCTCCAGCCCCTTCGCCAGACTCGCTGTCTGTCTGCCCGGCCGTTAATGAATTGCCAGGGCAAGCTGGTGCAACACTGGGCCTCTGTGAAGGTCTGAGGAGCAACCGTGGGCCGATCGGTAATAAATATTGATTTGTCTGTAAGTGAAACAGCAGCATTTATGGGATCGCGCTGGACACCCAAGTGGTGACCAAATTACCGTGGGGTCAAACGCTTAGCAGAATGCTAATAAGCCATTTATGTGAGCGGCAGCGAAGCAGGGGCAGCGAGGACTTCTGCAGAACTCCTCCATTCGGACCATTGTGAGCAGGGTCAAAGACAGGTCTATGCAATTTATAGCAGTTCAAGGCCCAGGTTTAGCCCTTTTTTAAGCAGTCCCGAATGCTTTGGCCAGCCTCAGGGTTTAGCAAACAAGGCCCCTACAGAACCTCAGCTCCCAGCCTGTCTCAGAAATGCAATAAATTGTCTGCATTTCCCTAATGCTGCAACAGAATAATATTTAATTCTTTTTATTCATGGGCTCCAAGTGGACTGCAGATACGCTGCTTGTTTCCAAAAAGAGCCATGAAGAGATGCACTGTGTTTTCACAACAAATCTTTCCATCTCTACAAAGGGTTCTTGGCCCAGTGACTGCTAGCCCATCTCATCTGAAGCTTTAAAACTACCTTTGGATTTAGAGCATTTTGCTGGCCTGCCCTCAGGTAAAACTACGCTGTTGAGCCAAACCTGGTATTTGTAACTATTTGGGGGTGTCAAAGGGAAACCAAAATTACATTTTGCATTTAATTGAGAAAAGACTCTAAAAGCAGTTAAAGTGACCAGAAAAAAAAAAAAAAAGAAAAAGAAAAAGCCATTCATTTATCCCTTGCCCAATAAAGCACATACACAACGTGTTTAACACTGAACTACAGAGAAGGGGCAGAATACAGAAATTTCCTCTGACCGTCTGCAAAGCAGTGCCCCGCGAATGGCACTGTGTGCTTCCTACAGGAAACTGAGCAAAATAGGTTTTTCTTCTCAAATCATGAGCATGAGCAAAATGAATCCTTAGCAAGGAAGGGCTGAGAGCATCTGTAGGCAGCAGTGAAAGCATCGGTCCCATGGGAGCCCAGACTGCCTCCAGGAGAAAACCTTCCCAGCCCTTACCTGCCCACTGAGAAGAGTGGGACAGTATCCTTATAAACCATATTTCTGAGATTTTGCTCCCTGGAGGCATATTGCTCTCGTTCTGTTTTAAGAATAAAATTTCACACAAGTGCATCTGTGGATTATGACCAGATTTGCTGGGAGGATACGTCTGAAAGGCAAGCTGACCTAAAAGGCACCACAAGACCTGTTACTTGTTAATGCCATCACCGATGAAGGACAGCATCTTACCACACTTCTACAGCTCGGGCTGCTCCCGTCTCACTCTGCCCTTGGAGCTGCCTCCGTCCAGAATTTGCCACTCACAGTTCATCCCCTAAGCAGGGCTTTTTGACCTTTCAAAATACGGCTCTCTGGGGATTTCAGTTTGACTGGACCCTTACCACCCATGAGAGACGTTGAAATTGGGGCGGTGGGGGGAGAAAAGAAAAGAAAAAGGGAAAGGGCAAAAAGAAATATCAATCTTTCTCTCTTTCCTTGGCAATAAATTGCTCCCACTTTATACTATTTCTGACACTAACAAACAAACACAAGTTACCCTCTCAGACAGAAGGGGATCAAATCCCTTTCTGCAGCACTGACAGGATAATCTAGCTCAAAAACCCTTTGATCAGCACAGTAGCATGCAGTGAAATCCTAATCCTACAGCTGACCACAGGAGTTTTGACTTCTGTGAGGTCAGAATTTCACTCACAAGCCTTTCTTGGCTGATATTTAGAGCTGTATCTCTATCTGACTCTGGCTTATGCTTATACACAACTTTATTATTTAATAAAGTTTATTATTAACTTCTTAATCATAATTAGAAAAACAGAAGTAATGGCAAGCCCAGCTAGGCCCTGTAGCTTTCTTCTGGAAATAAAAAAGCCCCCAAAAGAGAACCTGTTTGATCTGACATGATCATAAATCACCTAATCAACCTTTTGTCCCTTCATCTCATGAATGGAGAGAACTGACTCCAAAGAGTATCTGCCTTCTTCTTTTTCATCTTCAAATGTAATGTCATGGGGAGGACACAAAGGAAACGGTAAAAGGATTACCAGCACTGATCTCAAGAAGGTATTAATGTCCTTTCATGTTGTTCCTAGGAAGGAAGAGGAAGATCCAGCCCTAAAGTATTTAAAGTCTGAAATCCTATTAAAATCACATCTGCTATCCGAAGAGGCATTTAAGTATGTCTCAGACTGGATGCTGGGCAGCCACCACTGTACCAAGCAGCCTCCGCTCCAGCAAATCTCTGAGAATTAGGAGCATGGACAACTCACAAAATCTTTCCTTATTTCCCTCTGAAGGCAGAATTACAACCGACCTCCCTGGGATTTCTTACAGGAATGGAGAGTTATTCCTGCTCCCACCGAAGTGGGTGGCAGACCCTCCCAAGTTTCAATAGCAGGACTGAGGGGCATCCACAAGCCCAAAAAGCGTGGAGGCAGATGGATGGTGATGGACTCACACGTACCCGTGTGAGGGAGAGCGGGGAACAGGGGGACGGTCGCCCCGTGGGCTTTTTCCTCCCCTCCTCTCATCTCAGCCCAGAGGTACAAGTGTCCCACAAGGATGGGGCTGCAGCAGCCACAGTCCACGAAACCAAAGTCAGAAAGTAAATCCAGGGGTTCAAAGGGGCATGCCAGCCCCGGGGAGCGCAGGAGGGCGATCCCTCCCTCTGCCCCATGAGGATGCCACCGCTCACTCCACACCAGGCCTTGTACAGGACTGGGCTCTTGTCTCTGCTACACCACGAGGTTTGTGTCAGAGTGATTTGTGAGGTCCCACAGATATTTGGCAAGGGGGAAGGCACTGTGACAGCACTTCACTGTCACGTTTTGTTTTGTTACGCTGCTCTTTACCATCAGTTCCTACCTGAATAAGGGGAATCTGGAAAGCAGCTGGACTTTGTGTGAAGGATCCATCGGATAAACAGCAAATGAGCAACAACTGGTTTATTAAATGGTTAATTAATTGCTCGCCAGAGCAATAGAGTCCTTATAGCCCATAGTTACATCTAGGTTTTATCTAATCTACTGGAGACACACCAGGGAAGAGCAACAAGACTGGCCAGGAGACCAAAAACCGGGCATCCCAAAAAGGGAAGGCTGAGGTTGGGCAGGATACTGTCACTAGAGACCAAAAAAGCTGGTCTAAGGAGGAAGAGTATCTTCTGTTCCCAGTGTCCAAGGCAGGCAGGGGGAGAAGTCATCAGCTCTCAGGGCAGCAAGTGAGACTGGTCAGAGCAGGGCAGCCCCGCAGTGCAGAGCCATACAGCCCGGCAGATCTCCACTGCTCAGGGCAGATGGTGGTTTAGCTGGTCCTGCCTTTCACCAGGGGACAGGCCACATAACCCCTTGCAGGACTTTCCTCCTTGTCTTCTAATTTTAAATTTTACATCTATTTTTTAAGATGCCCTATCGCAATCGTAATGTGCTCACCTGCCAGTGCTGGCTCTATATGGACTGACTCTGAATGGACTCGCTGTACAAGATGATAAAGTCTGACTGGGTTCACAGGGTCTGCATATCACTTAATAGTTAAAATACAGCTTCTTTTCACCTGAGTGCTCTCTGGGAGAAGTGTTCAAGGGAGGGCAGTCCCCCCAGCTGGGACACACAATGCACAAGTGTTGTAAAATGTCTCCAGGACACCCTCTTGGTGACCTGCCTGGGGACTCCAGAGAGCCACCCTTCCTTAGGAAGGTGAAAGGCAGGCTTCAATAGGTGACTTTTTTCCACAGAGTGGCACTTTAGAGGCTTGAGTCCACTGGGTACTGAACAGACACAGATTTATTATGGGGATGGGGTGGGAGAGAAAAGGAGGAAGATCAGGGCCTGGATTTCTCAGGGGAATTGATCCACCATCTACAAGCCAAGTCCATGCATGCAGCTACAGATTTTGCTGCAACTGTTTGCCCTTTTAAATTGTGATCAAGTTTATATGGGTTTTTTGAATCAGGGCAGACAGTAACTAGACAGACATAGCACATCCCACATGGAGACCCTTGTTGTCTCTCTTCTTCTAAGTTCTCGTGTGGGCAGAGAACATAGGAAAACTCTAAAAGTGTACAAGTCCTGCAGTGGCTTTCAGTGCTCAGTGGTCCAAAGGCTGTGGGATGGTAGTCAGAGATTCAGGGGACATGTCATTGGGCTTGATAAGCTAACCTGTCTGCATTAAACATGGTGGTATGGGTCCCGCCTGCACCCCTGTTATTTCTTCACATTGCAGGTGTGTATCAAGACCAAAAGTTGCCACCCTGCACGACTTGCCAAAAGCTGTGTATATAAAAGCTGCCTATTTTAAAATAAGGCAGAGACTGGGAGCAGAAAATGGATGTACCTACAAATTCCTGCACCATTGCTTAGGGATTTACAGCCTGTAACTGCAATCATCCTTTGAGCCCTGTTAACTTCTGCAGGTAGGGTAACAAGCTACTGCAACAAGGCTGCCTTTAAGAGACTGTGAGTGCTGCCAACCAAGCAGACAGATGACAACATAACACCATAACACCAGTTCCCAGGAGACCTAGTCAGAAGCATGACAAAAGATGGAGCGTGGCAGTTTACACTAAGAGAAAATCTCCAAAAGAAAAAGCTTACAACATAGGCAAAATAAGCAGAGAGAGGGAAATGCAGCCATACAGATCCAAGAGGAACTCCTCTGCTACAGGAAAAAAAAGTCATTTAAGTACGTGACATAAGTATTCCTTGTCAATGTTATCCTTGTCAGTGTGTCCTTACCAGTGTCCTTCTTCTTTGTTCGTGAAAGCTCATGGACTGTTGCTCCGATATCATTTCTCAAGGACTTGATGATCTTGTCCAGCGCTGGGACATTCTTGCCTTCCAAGTTAATGAAGAACTCATACTCATCTTTGTTGAGACGGGAAGGTCGGGACTCAATGTGGGTCAGGTTTATACCTTTTTCCTATGAGAAAGAGAGATTTTGGTCCCACAGGGTTTGGGGCAAGAAATATGACATGAAGACTAGCTAAAATTCATGTGTGAGTCAACAGTTCATACTATACAATCCAAATAACTCAAAAGTAGAGACTTGCCCCTGGTGGCCACTGGACTAAGGACTTTCACAACAGGGAGAGAGACAAAAAGGAAGAATGAGAAGGATGCGGGATTCACCCTTGTGCAGAGCACCAACAGAAAGACTATGCACTACATAAACCTTTGGAAAAAGGTGGAAGCAGGATACAAGTTGTAAACAGACTTTTTATTGTAAAGTACCAGTACTGCAAGTACATAGCGGGAGCTTGTCTGTGTGGACAAGAACATTTCCCCAGGATCAACACGGGAAGCAGGCGTTCCACCTGTAGAGAACCCTCTCATGAGAAGGTGAGTGCTGTATTTATGAGCATCCTGAAAGGAGGTTGGAAAAGCAAGCTGCTGGGCACCTTGTGAGATAAGCTTCTGCCAAGCCACTGCACAGTCACCTGCAAAGCCACCTGCACAGTTTCCATGGCTGTGAGCAGGTGCTGGGCAGAGATCCAATGGGAAACATGGATCTGCACCAAAAAGGCAGCCCAGGTTTGTGCAAATAAAAACACGGGTGTTTTAAATCACAGAATCACAAAACCACAGAATCGCAGAGTTGCTGAGGTTGGACAGGGCCTCTGGAGAGCATCTCGTCCAACACTCTGCTCAGGAAGGGTCTGCTGGAGCAGATATTGCTCAGGACTGTGTCCAGTCGAGTCTTCAGTGTCTCCACAGATGGACACTCCACAACCTCTCTGGACAACTGCTCCAGAGCCTGATCGCTCTCACAGCGAAGAAGTCTTTTCTTTAGCACAGAAACGCAAATTCTGTCTCACCATATCTCTTCACCCACCAGCAGCAGTGCCTCCTAGCTCTGAAGAAAAGGATCGCTGGCAATTATAGTCTCGATGACTATGGCCAGTGTGTACCTGACCTCAGACATGCTACCACGTCAATGTGTAAAGCAACAAGCAGCTAAAACACCTATTTTTCCAGTCACTTAAACACAAGTCCAAGAAAATCTACCTCAGTTTAGCTGAACGTAAATGTTTTCCTGAGCACCGTAATTTGAATATGAAAATATGAATTTTTTTTTTTTTTTTTTTTGAGAAAAACCTTTAAACAGATTTCAGTTGGTGCTGACTTTACCACCTGACCTTCCTGTCAGGCTCACACTGGAGCCGTGGCCATGGCACGCCGCGGCCAGGTCTGGGCTTCTGTCCCCTGGGAGGAATAGACAAACCCCTGGAGGAAATTTGGGCCTGAAGATCAATCGCAGGAGAGTCAGAGGAGCTGACACACGGTGCTCAGGATCCCTGGAGAAGCTTTTGGTTTGCTGCTTTCAGGTTTAAGAAAACCCCGAACTACATGGGGTGAAATGATGGCCCCGCTGGTGTCAGTGTCAAACCCCCTGCTGCAGCGGGGTCAGGATTTCATCCATGAAGAAACGCTGTGAGGATCTACTTGTGACCTACAGAGAAGAAAGAGGGAAGCTTTTTTTCTGTACCTCCCTCTAGTTTGAGCTCTCAAGCCCTTTAAGGTTTTCTTGGCTCCTCTCAGTGCTTGCACAGTGCAGGGGGGCATCTGGCCATCAGCAGCAAAGCCCTCATTCACTCCGCCACAAAAGCCAGTTTATTACTTGGTAGGAAACAGCATGCATGTCATTCCTCTGTTTCCTGAGTGTCGCACACCACAGACGAACTTAAATTGTTTGGCTAGATACCAATACAATAAGTTGAAAAGGTCAAAAGCGCATTCGCCAACTGCTGCTCTTGAGAGATGCCGTCCTCGCGGGGCCGTCTGGGGCAAGAGAATGGCCGCCGCTGTCCTGGGCCCCAACGACAATTTGTTTTAGGCCTCCAAAGTCCCGTTTCGCAAACAGACCGCGCATTGTACCCTCCGCTTGGTGAGGCGCTGGGAGGTGGGACGGCCTGGAGCTGGAAGTTGGGATGACTCGGGGCTGGAAAGCTTTTGGCAGAGAGCAGGCGCGGGGGGCTGCCGCACCGTGGAAAGCAGTGTGGGAACGTGGGGCTGGCACCCGGAGCCCGGGGTTATTCAGCTGCTCTACGTAGCCACTCACAAAAGTGGAGAGTGGGTGTAAAACCTCCCCCTGTCAAAGGCTCAGCTCAGGCGCACTGAGGTGCTGCTGTGCTTTCACCTTGCACTGATGTGTCGGGGTGTTGTATTTTTGTCTCTGCGTAGATTCACGGGGGAATGGGGTCCTGGGCCCCGACTGGGATTTCTACGTCTTGCAGAGGCTGTGATAACATGGACCACTCTTGGGTGGCTGTTATCCCCTGCTTCCCTTCCCCACCCACAAGTGTTCATCCCTGCCTCGGCATCCCTTCCCTGGAGACAGCAGAGCTGTTTGAGAGATCACACAGGCACCTTAACTATATCCCTTTTTTTTTTTGGCCAGGTGATTTTTCCACCATACCAGCTCTCCAACCTGGCTCAGCGAGCAACTGCACAAACAGCGGTGCCCACAAAATGACAGGAATGATGCAGGGGTTGGGAACAAAGAGAGAAGCTGCAGGGTGGGCACAAGGCATGCTTAAGGCAGCAGGAGCATCGATGCCTCCTGAAGTATCCCCACAACCTGAGAGAGTGGGAAAAAGGAAAAAAAAATAAGAAGACAGGGAAGCAGGAGCTCTTGGAGACAGTCACCTCCTTTCTTACACTTGAGATAAGCAGAACAGCTTCCCACAGAGTGTGAAGCTGGTTTGCTGTTTATTTGAGGGGTGCCTGCAGCTCAGCAATGTGCAGAGCCAACCCGTTACCCCTTTGTGTCGAGGCTTCAGGACCTCACAGCAGAGCAACTGAAGGCAGAGCCCTTCTGGTGACTGTTTTCAAAGCAAGAATTCAGCAGCGTATGTCCAACTCCCTGAACTGGCACTCCTGGAGAAACATGCTCTCATACGCTACGCTGTGCCTTGCTACTAAGCCCCTGATTCCAAAATATTTACAGTGGCTCTGTTACTAGAGTTGCTTTACAAATCTGTTTCATTCTAGTCCAACTACTCCATCTAGTGTTTAATCTTCATAGTTCCACATTGTTCAAAAATTTTTTCTATCTTCAGTATTGCTAAATCTTGCAATTGCATCAGGTTGCTCACAGTGGTTGATGCTTTATTTAAAGCTCCAACTTCTGGAAACAAATGGTTACCTGAGAAAGGAGAATGGGGGCACTTTTGGTTTAGTTGTTTATTTTGAGCAGTTTCCAATCTCCCTGTGTTTTTTAGTAGAGCTTGAAGTCTTGACAGTGTATACCTTCATAAGACAGCTAATGAAAAAAATCTGTATTTATTTTATGGAACTTCATGATTTCTGAGCTATTTTTTGTTGATGGAACGTAACTCCTAACCTATCTGGTTTTGGAAGATCTGGGCCGTCACATATTTGAGGCTGCATTCACACCTGAACTATTAACATGAGTCTCTCCTGCCTTTCCTATTTCAGAGCTGGTAGGAATCTGATGACACCATGGCTTGAGATTAGATGTGCCTTTGCTGACTTCACCCCACCACCCATTGCAGCTGCAAAGAACTTGCAGCAGGTTGGTGCTTCCCTACTTCTCCTCGGGTTTATGACCAGCATGAAGGTTGATTCTCTCCTACATGGACACATCCTATCATACAACCACATATCTGCTGGAGTGCTTCTGTGTTGGTAGAGGAGGGGTAGCTCTTCACCTTGCATTTATTTCAAAGCAGCATACTAGGTGATTTCTAATATACTTTTTAACAAGTATTAACAATTCAGAACAGATTTTGCCTTGAGGACTGAGGCTAGCATTAGGTGTAACACCTAATGGAGATCACAGGGGTACAGTACTGCCAGATCCCTTGACGTTAGCTGACGTCACTCAAAATGTCTTGCTTTTTTTCTTAAAACTTTCACTCCTGGGGGTGAAAGATCTCAGCTTTCATTATTTGAATATCCAAGTTAACTGTATCATCTCTATCACTCCCCATTAGAGAAAGAAGTCTGAAGACATGTTCTCAGAGCTCAAAAATCAAGTTAGAACTAAAAGTCCATTTTGTGTAAGTCATGATTTTTGAATGGCAGGGTTAGCGATACAGATACCAATTTACAACAGAGGCAAAGGTGGCCGCAGGAGGAGATTGCCCATCTCCCTGCCTGCCTCACCCCACAGTGCCAGATCTCAGCCTTGGCTCCCTCTCAGAGGCTGGGAAGCAGCTCCAGCCCCTTCCCCAGGTTATTCCAGTCGTGCCATCCTGATGGATCATCTCCCACGCTGCAGCTGCTCCACACTGGTGGGATCAAACCAGCGTGGTGTGACACTACGTAGGCAGTCTTGCAGAGGTCACTGCCAAGAGAAATTAGTCCCACCCTCAGAGAGTTTAATGGCCTGATCATTGGAAAAGAAAAGTTGTGTTTTCATAGCTACCTAGGGAAGCTTTCAGTGGGGATGGATACTTTCTGGGAATGTCATGGGCTACTGCTTCCCATGGCATTTGTATGTCCTTCTGTTTACGCATTATTAAATGCTCCTGTATAGGTTGTTATGACTACGTACAGATGTGAAACTCATCTGCAGCTTGTTTTCATGACTGTTGTCATTAAGAAAGTTTGGCTTCATCAGGAGGCCCCACGTTGTTACCAGGTGAAGAACCATCAACAGTGCTACGGTGCCACTAATCAACATTCAGTGAGGACTGGGGTGAAATCTCCCAAAACAAGGATTTACTTGCAAATTCCTGATATTAAAAAAAAAAAAAAAAAAAGTGACATGTTCTTTTAACCCTTGTTAACAGGCTAGTTCAGGGCTTCCTGAAGGAGGACACTTTCCGAAGCACAAGTAGAAACTCAGTGCCTAATTTCCACAGGAGATCAGAGGGTTGTTAAGAAGTTACGGCGATGCCTTCAGCTGTGGTTTCCCAAGGTGAAGGCAAAGGGAGCCGTCTGGTTCAGCTTTAC